TAGAGAGAGAGAGAGAGAGAGAGAGAGAGAAAGAGAGAGAAAGAGATACAGAGATATCAAGAGTAAAATAGAGCGGCGACAGTGATGTAGTGGTTAAGTGTGTGCCGTCACAGGAGACTCGAGTTTGATCACAGTGCGTAGTGTGTGTTTGGGGAGAGTCGGTTAGGGGTGGGGGGGGGTCACTTTATTTGCGTATCTCGGTCTTTTAGCACTGACGTTGTATCCCTCTCAGTTTGGGTTGACCTGGCAGATAAGATCGAAGCCCGCCTCCAAAATGTTCTCAATAATATCGATGGGGGTGTTCCTATCTTAGAAAAATAGCTTACTTACCCTTACTCTTCCTCTTACTTAGTTGGTGAATAGGAATCATTGCAGGCGATACAATGCTCCTCCCTCCTCTCCATGATCTATGAAAGGGTCTGCTTGCGGATCGTGCCAGTTATCAGCTGGTTGGATATTCTTCTGGCTTTTCCAGGCAGTTTGCTGTCCCTCCCCGATCCTCTTCAGACATCAGCTTCCCTCAGTCATCGTATGTGATGTGGTGCCTTCATCCTCTCTCTGGTAGTTGCTGTTATGACTGTTGGTGGGTTTAATTGCATGGTGCCGCCAATCTCAGTCTGGCCAGCTAGCTTATCAGCACGTTATTGCCACGAACTCCTGCAGGAGTCCGCTGCTTCGTATTGGCTATGGCCAGTCTGCATACATCATTATTATGCTGCTTCCCTTTTCTCTCAAGAAAGCAACTATTAACTGACATCGTTTGCCATGTTGCTTCTCACGTATTAACTGACATAATACGCCAAGTTTGTTTCCACGCAAAGGGACCTGTAATGATATTATTATGTTTTCTGCATTGTTAATGTTCATGTTACATTGTTCACATTTTCCATATATGCTTTCTTACTCTTGTATAAAAACCCAAAAAGACGTATTTTAGAGATATTACACCCATTAAATTTGAAATTGAAATGGCATAATATCGTGCTTTTCTTTCTTTCTTTTGATTTCTTTTGCTACTTTAACACTGTAAGCAGTTACCGCAGGCAAGGGTGAAATAAGGAAGAGGAGGAGAAGAAGGAAGATGAAGAAGAGGATGAAGAGCAGGAGGAGGAAGAACAGGAAGAGGAGGAGTTGAGAGAAGAGGAGAAGGAGTCGGAAGAAGAGGAGGATTAGTTGGAAGAAAAGGGGAGGAAGGAGAGTTGCAACAAGAGGAGGAGGACGATGAGGCGGAGCGGGCTGTGAAGTAAAATGAGGAGGAGGAGGAGGGGTTGAAAGTGAACAACGTTCTTACAAAGTTTTGTTTTGCTTTTGTCTTTAAGACCGGTTTGGGCAAAAAGATTGTTTTTTTCCTTTATTATTCTGAATATCTTGGAAGAATTAAGCGATTCCGAATATCTGGGACGGATTTAGCGATTCTAAATATCTTGGAAGAATTAAGCGATTCCGAATATCTGGGACGGATTTAGCGATTCTAAATATCTTGGAAGAATTAAGCGATTCCGAATATCTGGGACGGATTTAGCGATTCTGAATATCTTGGAAGAATTAAGCGATTCCGAATATCTGGGACGGATTTAGCGATTCTAAATATCTTGGAAGAATTAAGCGATTCCGAATATCTGGGACGGATTTAGCGATTCTGAATATCTTGGAAGAATTAAGCGATTCCGAATATCTGGGACGGATTTAGCGATTCTAAATATCTGGGACGGATTGAGCGATTCCAAATATCGAACCAAAGTAAGGGGAAATTAAAAGAATTCGTATGAAATACCCAATCTTTCATGCGCGAGACTTCAACTGATATTTTAGACTGTATTTATTATCATGCCACTTAAGTGAATTTCAAGAAATAAAATTTTAGATCTATGTCTTTCGGTTAGGCTGGGAAATATTCATTTTCGTTTTCAAGACGCAGAGTTTTTTGTTTTTAAAAAATGTATTATCAACTCACCGCAATCACATGTATTATTAGATTTCAGTCAACTATAGAAGTAGTGAAAAAAGACCAACTCATCTGAAGTTCAATTTAACCATTTGGACATGGTCAGAAGAAGAGGTGCTTGGACCCAAGAAAAAGAACAACTTGCCCGAAGACTACCCCACGCGATTTCAACAGAAGCGAAATCAACTGCATTTGCTTGTGGCCTGAACTTGGCGTGGTACCATAGATTGCCTATGCCTGTTCTAATTCTTTCTAAATATAATCCATTCGATCTCTAAGTTGTTTTTAGTGAGAGTTTTACTACACCTGCAACACAATTAATTAGGTCATATAAGTATGGGAGATTTGAGGTGTTACAGGAGAGTGTCTTACCATACACAAAAAAGGAGGAGAGATAAGGACGATAGACATTTGATAGGAAAGAAGGAGCAAACCACACCAGAGCATCCGCCAACCTCTTTCAATCTCTAAGTTTATTGTTTTCTCTGTTGCCTTCCTAATGTCTATAGATCACAACCTGTGGGCGGTTGGCTTTTGTTGTGGTGTGGTCTGTCTATCTTTTATGTCAAACATCTATCGTCCATTCCCTCGTCCTTATCTCTGTTCACTTTCTAGTAAAAACCTATAATCTCCTGCTCTCTATCTCATGACCTGATGATGTCGCAAGGGCCGTAAAACACTGACTAAAACTAACCGGATCACCACCGCGGGTGGGTAGGAGGAATATAAAATTGACAAGTTATTTACATGCACTGTGCCTAAAATTAGTAGTAGGTTGGGGTTTTTTTCATACTACGGTTTCCCAATCTAAAGAAATAATTTGACAAAATCCACATCTGTACTTTGTTTTTCTATTTTTTAAGCAATAAAAATTACATTAGCCAGGTCTCGTCTTGGTACTCTTGTTATACAAATGAAGCAGTTTGTTTTCTCTAGTTTTTAATCTTTCTTTTAAAAAAATCATTTCTGGGTTTAGTACATTAGAAATGTTGCCTACTATTATACAAGCGTCTTATAGAATGCTCTATTGGTTTTACTTTTGAGGCCCTCTAAAATAATTTTCTAATTAGCTGAATTTGCAACATAATACATAAATAGGATTACAACTTCACTAAGCATGTTGTATGTTTGTTTGCGTGTGTAAGTATGTATGTGTGTATGTATGTGTATGTGTGTGTATGTATGTGTTTGCATGTGTGCATGTGAGAGAGAGAGAGAGAGAGAGAGAGAGAGAGAGTGTGTGTGTGTGTGTGTGTGTGTA